CATGAGGCCATGTAGACTGTAGGTGAGATTGTGTTCTTTAAGTTTCTGGGTTTTTTGTGTCTAGCAGCATCCCTTTTACAACCCCCCACCCTCTTAAGCAAGAGAAATAGAAAGGAGGACAGATCTACAGGGAACAAGGGAGCATTTTGTTTCTTCCTAAGTGATCCCTCTTAATAAGAAAGTGAGTCAGTAACAAGTTCTGAATGAAACTTAAGAAGTTCACTGAAGATTGAGCGCTGGGAGTGCTTGTGCAAAAACAGATGTGTAACTTTCAAAGTATTGAAACCTTGCTTTATTTAACTACTAAAAGGTAAGCAAAACAAAATAAGATAAAGTCTTTTTAGATCATTTTGAACATATACGCTGAGATTATGGCCCATAATTCAAAGTACTATCCACTCATTGTTAAATAATTTTAAAATTTCTCTCATATTTTAGAAAGAGAGTTGAGGGAGCATTAAGGATACTATAAATGTAAACAATTGAGTGAGGTGATATTTTCCAAATATGACTGGGACGAAAGCACCAAAGCGAAAACAAAAGAAAAACCTAAGTTGGTTGAAACCTGCCAGTGGTAGGAAATGTGAAAATAAGTAAATATTGTAACTACCATATATAGCTAAATAATTAGAAAATATTAGCTATAAATAAGATCCGTAACAATAACAGTAGAAGAATAGCCTTGTTAATTTTTGCTGTTTACAAACATGGAAGGTATGCACAAAAATGATGACACAGTTTTTATGTAAATAAGGAAAAAAGTAATTTTTTTAAAAAATTAGGATATTAAATTTAATTACAGATATATAATATACTAATCCTAATATTTGTTAAGTACTTATTAATGATTTACTTTAATATGTGTTCTGATAGTCTTAGCAAAGATTAATGTGCAGGTTTTTTTGTGTGTGTTTAAGAGAGGGTGTGCAGGGTATTCAATGTCTCACTGTATAGATTGGACTCGTAGTGATCCTCCAGTTTACAGCATCCCAAGAGCTGGGATTACAGGTGCGCGCCACCATGCCCAGTCTCAATTGCCATCTCAGCATGCCCTGGGGGTGGGGCCGGCACAGCAGGCCCAAGGATCGAACCCCTGGCCCCTGTACCTGCTTGCAGGTGCTTTAATCCGCCGAGCTATTTAACCTGCCCTTGTAATGTACAGATTTGTATGATACATTTTACAGATGTTCAGAAACTGAACATCGTAGAGGGTAGGTATGATGCACCAGTGTTGTGCTAAAGTTGGAGGGCAAGTTTGTCTTAATTTAGAGCCCATTAGACTTTAAAAAGTACTTACATGGAAAACTAAATCTTATTTAGTAAGAGCCTTATGACATTTCATTTAAATATAGAGTCACAGACCAATACACATATGTAATAAATTTTACATGCTTTCTAGGCACTTGTTATGATAAAGTTATGTGCACTAAAATATGTTTAGATGATGCATACTAGGGCTGGCAAGATAGCTCAGTGGACTAGGGGGCCTGCCCCTTAGCTCAGTTCTTTAATTGGCTGCTTCAACAAAGCAGTCAGGCTCAGGTTGCTGTGGTTCAGTCCCCATGACTCAAGCCAGCCAAACCTGCCCTGAAGGCATTGGGAGCAAAAAAAAAAGATAGCTCTAGTGGACTAAATGCCTGCTTAGGCAAGCACAGGGACTGGGATTTGATCCCTGGCACCATGTACTACACTGACCCTACCCATTGGTGCAACGAGCAGGCTACTGAGACTGGGTATGGTGGTGCACACCTGTAAACCCAGTGCTGGGGAGGCTGAAAACACAGGAGGATCACTATGAGTCCGATTCAGACTGAGACTCTGTACCAGATACATTCAAAAAAAAATTCTTAGATGATGTATACTGAAGAAGTCTATCCATGTTTAGATAATACAAAATGTTTATATGTTGTGAAAATGCTTAAAAAACTTGCTTATATATTAAGAAATTCTGTATTCCCCAGACATAGTATATAATTGGGAAGGCATTGTTTTGTTCTCTTTATTTTTATTTTATGGAAAAAAAGGTAAAACAAAATTTCATAAAAATAATAGTATAACAATAGTTAATATATTACATATTGTTATCTTTGAAGTAGTTGATCAAGGTACAAGATATGAGCATAAAAATTTCTCAATTGATACTAGCTCAAACCTTGTTTTATTTTTATTTTTTCAAACCTTGCTTTTTAATGAAGTAAGAGACACTAATTTTATAACTGACTTGCATTTTTTCCCTTTTCCTTACTGACCTTCCCCTTTTTATCCATCCTTGCTCCTTTTTTCTTTTGAACAGTTTCTTTCCATGTCACGATGTCTACTGAACATTTTATAAGTTTACTCTTTCAATATTTTCACACCAGGGAAACAATACAATGTTTTTGCATATGTGTCTAGTTTATTTCGCTTATGAATATGGTCTTTTTAAAAAAAAAATTTTAATTTATGTGTGTGTGTGTGTGTGTGTGGCCAGCTCAGCCCACCAGGGGACGGGGCTGGCTGGCATGTGGTGCTGGGGGATTGAACCGCGGTCCCTGTGTTTTGCTAAGCTTGTTTTAAGTAGGTGCTTTAGACCACTGAGCCATCTCTCCAGCCCCTGAATATGGTTTTAAGTTGTATCCATTTACCTATAAAAGTCTTTAAGTCTGCCCTTCTTTAGATCTGAGTAGTACTCCATTGTATTAAAAATAAAAGTCTTTTTATCCGTTCCTCATTTGATGAGCGTTTGTGTTGTTTCCAAGATCAAGCTATTACAGATTGCTGCTATCAGCATGGTGCACATATATTGTTGTGGTCTGATGTTTTTTCTTCTTTTGGGAAGATACCCAGAAGAGGAATAGCTGGGTGGAATGAGACCTGTATTTCTAGTTTTTTTGAGGAGTTTCCACACTGATTTCCATAGTAGATCTATCAGTCTATACTTCCACCAGAGTGAAGAAGGGTTCTTTTTTGCCCTACAGCCCTGCCAGCATTTGTTATTGATTGATTTCTTGGTGATAACCATTATTTCTGGGGTGAGATGGAATTTCATTGTTTTAATTTGTATTTCTCAAATGACCAGTGATATTGAACATTTTTTGATACATTCATGTGCCATTTGTATTTCTTCATCTAAGAAGTGTATATTCATCTCAACTGCCCATGTTTTGATTGGGTCTTTGGATTTAGGGGATCAGATTTTTCATTTCTTTATATATTCTGGATAGAAGTCCTTTTTCTGAGAGACAATTGTCTAGAATTTTTTTCCCATTCTGTATATTGTCTTCTAATTTTGTTGGTGATTTCTTTTGCTGTACAAAAAACTTTTCAGTAAGGTGAAATGCCAGTTGTTGATTCTTTGAAGTATTTCCCATGCAGTCTGGGTTTTGTTCATGAACTCTGTCTACACCTATATCTCAAGAGTTCTACCTACTTTCTCTTCCAGTGGATATATTGTTTCTGTTTTAATATTTAGGTCTTTGATCCATTGTGACATGAGTTTAGTGCATGGTGATAGACATGGGTCCAGTATCAGTCTTTGGCATGTAGAGAGCCAGTTTAGACATCTTTTTTTTTATTAGTACATGTTTTTAATCCACTTCCCTTCTCCTCTTCTTTGTTACCTCTCCTCCTATCTCTTGGTTACCTTGCCTTTGCAAAAAGTTTTGTTTCTCTGGTTCCTATTATCTATCTTTTATTTGTCTTTGATTTGTTTATACTTTGGGTTCTCATATAAGAGAAACCATGCAGTGTCTAAACTTGCATGTCTTGAGGTAAGCTCTTGTGATTGTGACATCCCTAGTGAGTTGATAGGCAGAGCTGATATGTGAGACATATTTTCTGCATACAAATTGAAATTTACAGTTCTCAGCTGAAGTAATACAAAAGAGAGGAGGACAGAGAGCAAAGCTGTTTTCAAATTTCCTGACTCCCATAGGTGGAACACACTGTGGATTTACTAAGGTCAAATACCAGACATGTTCCTTAGGGATAATATGCTCTGTGTCATGGAGAGCTTTGTAGAGGACAAGTATAAATGTGTTCCCAATTCCAGATGAGTCACTTGGATATACTGAGTTGCAGTTGATTAATTAATAAAGTGACTAAAAGAAATATAGCAAACTTTAGGCTTTAAGAGTTGAGGAATTTTTATTCCTTGGGTTCAGTAAAACCTTTTTGGTATTGTTTTTCTCAATTTTATATTCACTTGCTTGTCTTTGCTATGATTTTCGAACTTTGAGATACTTTCCATACCTCTGATAGGCAACACAGACTGCTGTTTTCATTTGTGAATAGATACACCAGCTCTCTACTGGTGTATCCGTAATGTTGGACATGTAGTTATGTTGCAAGATATTTGAGGCCAGATTAGCTGAGGGATTTTATGGAATTTAAAAGTAGCCAAATTATTGATCTTTATGACTCATCTTTATATCTAAAACATCTGCTTATTAATTTTCTATAATACCAGGAAATGCCATACCTGAGACTATTCAAACTATCCTACTTATTCTTTTTATTATTTATTATCCTATTTAATAGTAATAGTATTAGTAGCAGTAGTAGCGGTAGTAGTAGTGGTGGTAGTACTGGGAATCAAACTCATGACCTTGCACTTGCCAAATAGGTACTGTGCTACTGAGCTATCCCTGGCCTATATCCTATTAATTTAATAATATAAAATGGAATAATACCATTTTTAATATTGTCCCACCATTTTTCATTCTTTTTAAGCAAGAGCTCTAAATTTGGGAATTTCTAGAGTATCTAGAAAAGATAGGTATGATAGTAGTTTAAAAATAAAAACCACCTCACAGCACTTACCCTAGACATCACTGTGAATGCCTGTTCTGCCTCTCTACTGGACCAGATGGCTAGAAGATTTTGATTTTGTTCAGTTTTTTGCATATCATGCCATGCTTTGTATATGGACCCAGAACTGACACATGACCTCCGAGCATGAGTTGTCTCATAGCTAGAATTCTGCATAGCAGTGATATTGTATTGATGGCAACATATCTAGATTGGATATTGCATATTTGTTATGTTTGATGGAAAATGTAGAGAGGAATAAAATCTGGAGAGTTGCTCAGAAGGGGAGAGGTTCTTAAGAAAAGATGGAAAGCAGAACCTAAAAGTCAGAAGTCATAAGTAGAAGATGGGGAGAAGAGAGTACTACCATCCAGAAGGGTGTAGCACTTGGTAGGGACTCTTGCAGTGGCAGACAGTTTAAGAAGGAAATGAGCTCAAGCTATGTGAGGGTACTTACTTGTATCGTGTGTGCTGCCAGCACTTGTATTTCCAAGTTGGTTCTATATAATAGGTACTCTTGCTTTGTTCAACTAGTGGCTGCATAGTTGCATGTGGCCTGTGCTTCCAGCCCCTTTCCCAACTCATTTTTCTCTCTTATAGTTTTTACATTTGAGGTCCAAATGAAACTTATAGTTACAATTGATCAGTTAGTATGTAAATCCCAATAGCTTATTAACTAGTGACTACTTTTTAAATAAATATCACATTTTCCTATTTACAGTAAGTTCAGTTTTATGGGAGTTGTTTAATGATAGGGGAGTAGTAACTATGAGATAATTTCCCATGCAGTTTAAAATTCTTTCTGGAGTTATTTGTGTGAATGTTATCCTGCGAGTATGTGAAAATGTGCTTGGCTACCGCAGTCCATAAAACCAAAATATATGCTTTCCTAAATTTTCTTCTTCTTTTCAGAATTTTATAGAATCTTCTGTCACCCTGTTTGAATCTGACCTAGAAAGTGGAAAGTTTATTGACATTTCAAATCAAGACGTTTCAGACTTAGAAGAAATTGGCTTTGGTAGTGAAACAAGATCCATTCATGTTAAAAATGGAGTGTAAGTTGTCTCCTGCCCTAAGGACCTTGAAATATTCTTTGGTGTTTTAAATTATTGGTTGCTCGGTTGGACCTCACCTTTGTTCTTTTCTCTTTATTCTCTCCTAGATGGGTTGCCTACCAGCAGAAGTTCTTCTGTGGAGAACAGTACATTTTAGAGAAAGGGAAATACAAGTGTTTCTTTGACTGGGGAGGATCAAATAATATAATCATGTCAATTCGACCTGTTCAGCTGGTAGGTGAATTATGAGGATGGCAGTTGCCAGTAGCATATTAATAGTTAACAATTAAAGATATAAGACAGGATTTTAAAATATGGAATTGTTGGATTATTTTAATGTTTATATACAGAAAATGAAAACATGGTAAGAATTATGTAGACTCTATGGAGAGCTATTACATATTAACCAGAGAATGAAATGGGTCTGTAATTTTATCACTTCATTCGTTCGGCAGTATGTATATAGTGCCTGTGATTATTGCACTTCTTACAGGAGATGAGAGATCTTTAAAGTTACCCTAATGGCTGTTGCTCTCACAGAGGCGATGAATATATGAGCAACTAATTACAATGATTAGTGAGAGAAGGCAATGTGTAGGCAGTAATAGGAGCACAGATAAAGGAGGCTCTGAGTGACTTTACCACAAAAAATGTAGGGAGTTACAGCCTAAATTATAAAAGTAATTTTTGAGGCAGATGGCATTTGACAAAGAATAATTTCTTTGTGTGCAATACCATAAAATTGTGAAGGACGATGACCAGTTTGTTCCGCAACAAACTGCAGAATAACCAGGGTGCATATGAAATAAATGTCACAAATTTTAGACTCTTTAATGGGTGCTGTAGAGCATCAGAATTACTAAAAATAAGTTGGGTGTAAGTACTAAAATTTAGGAGAGAACTCAGTATCTTTTTTGAGGGTCTTGGCCAGTTGAAGGAATCTTATAAATTTTGCAGACCATTAAAAACTTTTAAAGGATGTTTTGAAAATGTTCAAAAAATAACTAAGATTACAATGTTTAAAATATTTTAATATATTTTTCAGGAACCACTTGGAATAAATGAGCCTCCACATTTGGTATGTTTAAAAATATTCTTAATTTATAATTGTTGCTTATTTTACCAAAAACAGTTACATTTTCTCCATCAGGTCTTTCCCTTTCTCTCAGATAACTTTTTCATATGTATGAAGCTGGGAAGTTTACATGGCACTTGTTACTGTGAGCTGAAGAGAATTTTATCTTCATCACTGACTGTATTGGCCTGGACTCCTCACAGTGCATTTTCTCCAGACATAGCTATTGCTCTCACTACTTCTGGTTCATTTTTACCTGTGCCACCTTGTTCTCTCTTTTTGTCTGGTTATTGTTCTTTAGCACAGCACAGTGTGTTATCTCTGGAGGAGCAGGTGGCATAGAGAAATTGCTGCCTTGGCTTCCTTATTATGTGCACGTCTCTCTAACACTTACATCAAATGTTTCTTCATGGCTTGATTTGAAACTTTTTCATTTTTTTTTTAATGAATTTAGGACACAGTCTACAGGGTCTGCAGGGTCTCACTATGTGATTGGACTTGTAGTGATTCTCCTGTTTTCACCCTCCCAAACACTGGGATTACAGGCATGCACCACCATGCCCAGTCTCAGCTGCTGCCTCAGCATGTCCCGGGGGTGGAGCTGGCATGGCAGGTGAGGGACTTTTTCTTTCTTTCTTTCTTTCTTTCTTTCTTTCTTTCTTTCTTTCTTTCTTTCTTTTTTTTTATCTTTGTGGTACCGCGGACTGAACTCAGGACCCTGAACTTGCCAGGCAAGCGCTTATTCTACTGAGCTATCTCCCTGGCCCTTTCATTTCTAACGTTAATGGTGTGAATAGGACTGCATAATATTCTAGATTCTAATGCTTCTTTATTATGTATTGAAGGCTAGAAATTTTGCCTATATAATACTACTCATAATTCTGTGAGGTCATTGTTAATCCCATTTATTGATTTAAAAACTAAAATTCAGTTTAAGTAGATACCATTATCACACAGATAGTGTAAAATAGTTTCCAATTCCTTTTATAAAGCAACATTTTCAAGTCAAAGAAGGATATACTATAAGAGGAGCACAACCATAAAAGGTTCAGAGGATAACAGACATTACTTTTTCTACTCCATTTTAAATAACTACATTCAGAAAAACTGCTGTTAAAAAGCAAATATAGTGATTAATTTAAAATGACATCCACTACCTTTATATAATGTTGATTGTGTATCTTTTTCATATTCATGTTAATGTTTACATGTTTCAAATCAGCTTAGTTTAACCCGGTTTCCACTTACAGTGCTTTTAGTTTTTACTGGTTAGCTTGGGTCTATTGGGAATGTTTCCTTTTTGAATATAATTGAGTAGTTATATTTGGAAACACTTCCTGCCACACCTTTAGTTTGAATTTTTGAAAATATCCAACTGGATTTTTAAAGCAGTGTTTCACATGAGTCAGAATAACTTGAAGAAAGGAATTAAACAGGAATAATTTCAAGCTGTACATTTTCTGAGCTTTTAGTGCAGATGAAAAAGACCCATTCTTTCAAGTTCTGTTTTTCCTCATCCTGCCTGTTTCATCCTGACCCGGGGGGTGGGGTGGGTTGTTTTTAATAGACTTCCTTGTTTGGAGCGTATTGCTAAAAAGATTTTCTTTATAGCATTTCCAGTACAACTTGAAGAGAGGTGAAGCAGCAGAAAATACCCAGTGAAGTTGGCTCCACTTCACTTTTTCTAAGTGTTGCTTGGTAATTGGCTTATGAAATAAAAATCTCTGGCAATATGATAGCTGGATGTCAAAGCTCTTCTTATTTTCAGTTGACCAAATTTTCAGGTGTTTTTCTTACTTATGCTCACTTGAATATAAATAGATCTTAATCAGCAGACTAGTTCCATTCTGTAACTGGAACGTGTTTTCTCCTTCCCAGATAGCTGTGGCAGTCAGATTGTACGTATCAGTGGTTTCTGCAGATACTTTTTTTCCCTGAGTATATAACTAAGTTACATCTTACAGTTTAAGTCAGGAGTAGGAGGTATTTTATGCTGGTGATTTTAAGGGGAACCTGAAGCCACCTAGGAGGGGCAAAATTTAGAAAATGCATATATAGAGATTAATATACATAATGAGACTTACGATAGTAAAAATATTATTGCTGATTATTCTGTAAAATAGGACATTTCTTGTTTGAGATACTAATAGCACTCCACCTTTTATTGACAAGATTGTTTTCCTCCTAATTAGTCACTAAATCTAATTATCAACCCAAAATATTAAGTCCTTCTAGGCCGGGAGTATGGTGGTTCTAGAGTTTCTTATAATTATCAGGTGGCATTTAACAAAACAAAGACTAAACAAATATGTGTTGTATTCACATTGTCATCATATATCTGCCTTAGTAAGTCTTAAATATCAGAAATCTCACTAGATCAAATCTTATAAAAGTAAATATAGTTTTCTGAAGAGATTGTAGTTGGATACCATTCTGTAGTAATTCTGACCAGTTCTCCTCTTGACCCAATCAGGTACCATGTGTTCATAGCATCTTTTAAAGTTCATTTACATATATCATGAAAAAATTGAATTTCTGCAAGTATTGAGCCCTTTTTCTATTTTGTACAATTCAATAATTGTAATTGAAAAAAACAAATGGATATTTTCTTCTATGGATAATTTAGCATCATTAAATTTTAAAGTGATCACAGGGTCGATAATAGTTGTGGTTACTATTTTCATGAATGCAGACAGGAAAATGACAAATTTAGGCAAATATCAGTAAGATTCAGAAGCAATTGAGAAAAAGATTTCTTTTTATTAATTTTATTGAGAAAGAAATAACAATGAGACAGTTTCAAAACAGGTTAGTAGGACAGTTACAGTAATTAATACATTGCATATTGTTGTCTTCTTAGTAGTGATTCATACTACAAGATGGAGACATGACATCTTATCTAAACAGTATTAGAACAAATCTTTTCTTTGCATTGAACTAAGAGAAAGTAGCTGTATATCTAACCTCACTAATTTTTACATAGATATATTTTTTTTCAAAGAAAAACAGTTCTTTGTGAAGATATAACTGACTCACTTTTATAATATTCAATGTGTAAAAGTTCTCAGGGAGAGCTATTGAAGAACATCTTCTATGAGCAATTAGGGAAATAAAATTATTGTAGACTGTAATTGACTGAAAAAATATATGAGAGTGTAATACAGGATAGGTGTGATGTAATCAAAGTGTGAAGACTTTTTTTTTTTTTAACAGTTAATGTATATGAGGGAGGCCCAAAGGATTAGACAAAGCTGTATTCAGTGTAGAATGGTATTCTTATTTTAGGATTGGGTAATATAAAGTTGCATTAAAAGATAATGCTGAAATTTTAAAAAAAGATGATGCTGATATTGTGGAATAAACTGAACATAGCATCTGTGTTTGGACAGTAAGCTTTTATATTTTCATACTAGTTGGAAAAGATTGTCACATTTTATTCATGTATGTCATAAGTGATAATTACATAGCAAGAAGCATTTCTGCAAAGTCTTAATTGTAAAATGACGACAATTTTAGCTCTAAGGGTTATTTCTGAAGAGCAAATACCACATTATATATAAAGGATTCCTTGTCATTTAGTGAAAACCTGAGTTTTGTT